TATTTCTAATTCAAAAAGACACCTGACTGTGTTGTAACGACTTGTTGTAATATCAAAAACAACCTATTTCCTCGTGTATGATTTATAATCTGAATTCCGCGCGAAAGTATAATTGTTTGAACATAATGGAGAATGTCGATAAAAAACAATAAAATCAGCGTTATTAAAGACACCAAAGGATTGATAAAAAAAACCCCACATTTTCCTATTTGTATGTATTCCATTAATAACAAAAGACAAGGGAAAGCTAAATTTCGTCATCATATTCATGACATCACTATACACAGCCATCGGCAGCTTTAAATGTACCACTTTAGTGTAATGAGATACATATAAGTGATACACAAGCATTCGTTTCAAATCAATCATCAAACATTGATTTTCGATCTTTCGTCTTGCCGAGTAGTATATTGCTTATGGTGATTGGTTGATCAGCTTTGCACGCGCAACTAGCCTAATAACCTTATTTTTAACATGGCAATGTATGCTACAAATCAGTAAATGTAGGTCGTGTTTTTAGTTTTAGATAATGTATATAGATAAGATCCGCCAAACAAACACTATATCTTTATAGTGTTTCGTAGTATGTTTAGAAATTTGGGGAATATAGATCAACATTCGACTCTCTTGTGTTGTTTATAAACATGCGCATTTCATATGCCAATCACTAACACGTGACTCTCTCAAGCCCCTGTGCCTGTCTGAGCAACAACCGCAGGGGCAAAAATAGTGACAATAAGACATCATGTTAAACCTTGGTTAAACTCAAACTAAGGACCAGATGCGCTAAAGAAGGTTTTGTGCAGGTATAAATGGCATTCTCCTTCAATATTCAGATTCGAAGCAAGATTAGTTGTAAAATTTTTAAATAATGATTTATCAGAAAATTCCCTATTCAAAAGTAAACATTAAGGGACCTCCACTCAACCCACACTGTACACAGATTTTGAAAGATGACTTGGTACAAGTTGGAAAACGTGTGACCATATACCCATGCATATATATGGTCCATGGGTTGGGAATTCATGCCAAGTCCCTATGGCAACAACGACAGATTTTTTTCAAGTGGACTCCATGGCAACTAAGTTGAGATTTAGATCAATTCGTAGAGAAATGCCAATTATCACAATACAACTATACAACAGTCATGTACCGTACATGTGCTATATCTTTAATCTCCAGCAAGTTATACACGACTGACCATATTGTCTTTCAATGTATAAACAAAATGTCAATAAATTGAGAAATGTCAGAAAATTATATACATGTCATAGAGTTTAATTTAATGGAATACAGTCACACAAGAAATCGCCCTTCCTTGGAGGCTGTTGCCCGACACGACCTCGCCCAGCAGTTTTACAGCTTTGAAAATTCAAATTTTTGCTGCTATAATACAGTGAGTTTTCTATATTCCCGCTGTCAGCATTATCACGGATCTATTGTACTTATTTAGAATGACCCTCGAATAATGTCGTTATTGTGTGTGTGGTCAGTAGGGGACATTTTTACATGGCGGCGACGAAGCAAACTCTATGGCTGTACCAATATTCTGGCCCTGAGCCCGTAATTCTTACACTGCGCACTCCTCTGCAGTGGCGATCTCATAAGGAAAATTAAGTACATCATCATCTTTTCGAAATTTACAAATGAGCTTCGAAATTAATTTAAAACCAAAATCGAAGTGGCTTTGAGCGTGACCAAGAAATTGAAGTAGACAGAAGACGAATTTCCATTAAAATGTGCTTTTCAATAGAGGGGACATTTCAAAATATTGAGAGACAATGTGTATATCTCCTCCGTTAACATAAGACTTCATGTAAGTACACAAACTAGCATAAGAATATTGGCACAAAACTATTTAAATGAATACTGCATCACTCAACATGCACGTGGCTAAGTACGCAAGCTGAAATTTCGTTATATATCTTCATAAATATAACACGTATTGTAAATTTTGGGAAAGAAGTCGCTTCTTTGCCGGAATTCAAATAAAACTTACTTTTAAAATGCATATTAATTCGCTTTTCATTTTGAATACTTACTTATAATGATGTGCTGACGTCGATCAAAGCTTCTGCTAAAGGTTATTTGTAACGATTCGGTAAAATTGTTTTCGAAAAACGCCATACAAATACATTGAAATCCAATACTATCAACTTACTCGGCTATTCACATGCCGCCATCTTGAAATTATTCACATATCGCTATCTTGAAAGTATGAAGTTAGTTTAAACAGTACGTTTAAAGTTTTTATTTTGCATAGTTTTCAGTGTATGTGTGTGTGTGTGTGTGTGTGTGTGTGTGTGTGTGTGTGTGTGTGTGTGTGTGTGTGTGTGTGTGTGTGTGTGTGTGTGTGTTGTGTGTGTGTGTGTGTGTGTGTGTGTGTGTGTGTGTGTGTGTGTGTGTGTGTGTGTGTGTGTGTGTGTGTGTGTGTGTGTGTGTGTGTGTGTGTGTGTGTGTGTGTGTGTGTGTGTGTGTGTGTGTGTGTGTGTGTGTGTGTGTGTGTGTGTGTGTGTGTGTGTGTGTGTGTGTGTGTGTGTGTGTGTGTGTGTGTGTGTGTGTGTGTGTGTGTGTGTGTGTGTGTGTGTGTGTGTGTGTGTGTGTGTGTGTGTGTGTGTGTGTGTGTGTGTGTGTGTGTGTGTGTGTGTGTGTGTGTGTGTGTGTGTGTGTGTGTGTGTGTGTGTGTGTGTGTGTGTGTGTGTGTGTGTGTGTGTGAGGTGTGTGTGTGTGTGTGTGTGTGTGTGTGTGTGTGTGTGTGTGTGTGTGTGTGTGTGTGTGTGTGTGTGTGTGTGTGTGTGTGTGTGTGTGTGTGTGTGTGTGTGTGTGTGTGTGTGTGTGTGTGTGTGTGTGTGTGTGTGTGTGTGTGTGTGTGTGTGTGTGTGTGTGTGTGTGTGTGTGTGTGTGTGTGTGTGTGTGTGTGTGTGTGTGTGTGTGTGTGTGTGTGTGTGTGTGTGTGTTGGTGTGTGAGGGTGTGTGTGTGTGTGTGTGTGTGTGTGTGTGTGTGGGTGTGTGTATTTTTTTTTTATTTTTACAACACTTGTTAGGTATATTGGGGATTTGAAGACTTCGTCCGTTAGATAATAACATAATGGCTGTATGATATCGAATAAAATATTTTATTAAGTTGAGGCCTGGTGTTGTTAGCGTTAGTTAACTACACCACACCTATGTAGGACATGGGGGAAGGGACGTAACTGTAATTATCTACAAGGCTCCGAGTAGTGCGGCAGGTAATGACGCATGAATCGAAGTGTGAGTGAGCTAAAGTGGTCCGGGGGTCAAAGGGTCGGGGGTCGGGGGGTCGGGGGAGGGCTTCAATTACTTTTATGTGAAAGGATCTAAACCAGATATGTTAAACATAGATATATGTTTACACTGTAACAATGTTACTTTTGTTTCTATAAGTCAGCATCTGTCCACATCTGCAATGCACACGAATTCGACCGATACTTGACACCGAGTGATGCACGAGTTATATCCCTTTAATCATAATGCAGGGCTCGTCTTTCGCGACACTAAAACCTATATCTTCTCCACCATGGGATTTTTGCTATCGCTTGACTGTAAAAACACGAATGAAAATATAGTGTATTCTTCCATTCTCAATATTCACTTAATTATGATATATTTACTCTAAAAAATACTCTTCCCGAGGAGGGAGAGGAAAACTCTTTTGGTATATCATCGAGCACTGATGAAGGTGACCGTGTTGTCATTGAATCGTCACATATAAATATTACACTGATTTTTTCTGATAGAACTTTCATACTACTGCAGAGTACTTGTTTCAATATGTGTATCAACTCAATTTCAAGTAAATAGTGAAAACCATAAAATCTCACTTTTGAAAAAATAAACACACACACAAAGTAAATAAATAAAAAAAATTATTTCAAATAGCTTTGGCTTGATCCAGAAGTTCATAGTACAATGTATATTCCATTTTTGAAAGTTATGAGAAACTGAGCTCAATGCAAACCTTTAAAGTCTAGCTTCTCAGCATCCCGAAATCCCAAAATTTACCGGACCGTAAAATTTGGACGATATGTTGTAAATGATGAATGTGTTAAGGTGCCACTGTGAACTCACTATATCCTAAGTTTGGTTGTAGTTGAAAGCTACCGATCTAAACGCAAAATTTCGCTGATGAATTCTTCTGAGAAGTTAAAAAAAATCCAGTGTTTCACTTCCGTAGTGAAGATTTTTGAAAGGTTACGTTTTAGAAAGTAATTGAAAAGCAAAAATCAATATGTCCCGGTATTTCTTTTTCTGATTTCGGCGTCAGATTATGAGTAAAAGGAAATTTGATCTTGATTTTTAGACATACAAGGCTTTGCTACATGAACATGTATTTCCGCAGCAATTTTTTTTATCTAAATAACTTGTCATCTTTCATTAAAAAGCAATATTATGATGTATGATACTTTGATATTGTATATTATGTAAACGTGCTAAACATTCATGTGATTTATAGAGCTTAAAATTGCAGAGCAACAAAAATAGGACAACTGATCGAAATCCTTACTAAACCAACGTTTAGTATTCACCTGTTTTTGACTTATGCTTTGATAGAAATTTTTTCAAGGACAATTTTTCATGATTAAAAAAGAGGAGTCAATTCTCTTAAATATGTATATCTTCACCTAGATAACAAGGTTTTCTTATCAATATAGAGCTGAAGTATTTTTTCTGGATCTGAAAATCAGGAAAAGTGCTTCATCAAGTCGGAATTCATGAACTGGAAAAAAATGTGATTTGTGGTGATAATTTATACAAAATAAAATTGAATTACCCAAGACTTCTAAAGTTATACCCCAGAGAATTACATGTATCTTAACAACAAGGAAACGTTGAAATGATTTACGCTGTTACATGTAACCGAATCACGCCGTCAACTAGGCCGCTAAAACTCCTCAGCAATGCATTCAACCACCTAAGTAATAGTTTCAATCGCCCTAATATATTTAAACACCTCAATACATTCAACTTCCTCAATACATTCAACCACTCAGCAATACATTCAACCACCCCAATACATTCAACCACTCAGCAATACATTCAACCACCCCAGTACATTCAACCACCACAGCCATACCTTCAACCACCTCAGTAATACATTCAACCACCTCAGTAATACATTCAACCACCTCAGTAATACCTTCAACCACCTCAGTAATACATTCAACCACCTCAGCAATACATTCAACCACCTCAGTAATACCTTCAACCACCTCAGTAATGCCTTCAACCACCTCAGTAATACCTTCAACCACCTCAGCAATACCTTCAACCACCTCAGCAATACCTTCAAACACCTCAGTAATACATTCAACCACCTCAGCAATACCTTCAACCACCTCAGTAATACCTTCAACCACCTCAGTAATACATTCAACCACCTCAGCAATACATTCAACCACCTCAGTAATACCTTCAAACACCTCAGCAATACCTTCAACCACCTCAGTAATACCTTCAACCACCTCAGTAATACCTTCAACCACCTCAGTAATACCTTCAACCACCTCAGTAATACATTCAACCACCTCAGCAATACCTTCAACCACCTCAGTAATACCTTCAACCACCTCAGCAATACATTCAACCACCTCAGTAATACCTTCAACCACCTCAGTAATACCTTCAACCACCTCAGCAATACCTTCAAACACCTCAGTAATACATTCAACCACCTCAGCAATACATTCAACCACCTCAGCAATACCTTCAACCACCTCAGTAATACCTTCAACCACCTCAGTAATACCTTCAACCACCTCAGTAATACCTTCAACCACCTCAGCAATACATTCAACCACCTCAGCAATACATTCAACCACCTCAGTAATACATTCAACCACCTCAGTAATACCTTCAACCACCTCAGCAATACATTCAACCACCTCAGCAATACATTCAACCACCTCAGCAATACCTTCAACCACCTCAGTAATACATTCAACCACCTCAGCAATACCTTCAACCACCTCAGCAATACCTTCAACCACCTCAGCAATACCTTCAACCACCTCAGTAATACTGCCATCCACCCGGATCTTAGAATATTACTTGAAAGATTTGTAGCAAGTCACTATATTAAAACTCGGTCAATTTAATTCGTAAACGTTTTGTACATTTAGAACTTCGGTTTGGAAACATTCGATCCCAGAGACACCAACTATATAGTCATGACCATGGCGGTTACTTTGTGTTAGAAAGCTGATAACACACATTAATTAAAGCAACATCACGGTATACATTTTCTTCTTATGTCTTTTTATTATTATTATTTCTTACATATATATCGAGTGTATCACCCTACACAATGAACAATGCCAGTTGGTTTTCGCTGAAATATCACATAAAGAGGTTCATTCATAATTGTAAAAAGGAAATCCTCATCTGTTGATCAACAGTCTGAATATGTATCTTTTGCGTCATAGATGATAACGCATGCGCACAAAACACCGCCGCCTGTAAACAAAAATGGCTTCCCGCCTGAAACAGTTAGCGATTTCGTAATTCTGAATTGAATTATCCTTTAGCAGTTACCACACCCCATAACCAAATTCGATGCTGAAAAAACAGGATCTAACTGACTGTGTTCATGTGTTCAAAAAGATCTGCATCGTTTTCAAAATGATCGCGTGACGTTCACCGCTAAATTTGAGAGGGGTTTCCCGAACCTAAGAAGTGGTTAAGATGGACATTTGAAATCGACTGCGAATATCGAGATAGAATTAAGTCGTAACTTGAAGTGTATTAAACGCGTACAATCAGTAACAAATCTAATGTTTTAAGTGTGATGTCCCTTGAAAACTATTTCTTAAATTTCGATCCATTGTTTCCATAATCGTTCCTCGTTATATTTCGTATTGAAAAAGACAGGAACATATATGAAACGCTGTTTTGACAATTCAATAAAAAGATGGAATCGGAATGAAAATAATTCGTTTACAGATAGGTTAGTGTTACATGTATATATAAACTCAGTGAATGTTCTTTGGGTTTTTTTTTTTATTATTTTATTTTATTTTCAACAAATGCTATGCGTACACAAATAAACTTCAACCTCACCATATATATATAAACCTATCCAAACCGTTCACACATGCCGTAAGGACTGGAGCCTACTATTGGACCCCAGGGGCATGTTCCCCCTATACCCCTGCCCCCACCTGAACCCGTCACTCGAAAAAAAAATTATATTGGTTTTAACGTCAAATGCGTCAAGCGATCAAAATCTGATAGTGTTGTAAGTATCATATTTTAAGCAAAGTAACTCAAGATTCGGCAGTGTGCTTAACATTTTCGGAAACTTCATTGCAAATATAGATCTGTTTTCTTTGTTCATCCCTCCTGAAAATACGTCGTTATATAATCTCATTGGATGCAATTAGTTCGAGAAACTGGAGAATGACATGGATCTGTTTTCCAGCACAGGAAATCTGATATTGGTTGACGATTGCAACAGTTAAGCAGGAGCACAGAAAGACCAGACTGAAAATAGCCAGCTTCACTTAACGCTAATGGACCAAATCTCGGATGGAAAAGCAGAAGATTAACCCCAATAGATCTACTGTACATATATATACGTTTGGAAGTCGGTTGATAAACACGTGTAAAGATACCAGCCTGTGGATCTTGAACGGAAGACACAACAAACACGGTGTTGGCTACACGTTTAATGGACTACGTTATATGTCTGTAATCTGATACGTTTTCTTTGATCGCTTATTTTTTCATCTCATGCTACCCAAACAACGTCCCTTACAGCTTGAACCAGTGGGCACGGACCCTTATTCATATTTCATTTTATTGTACATAATACTTTTTACTAAAGAAAATCCTGTTTGCTGTATCAGTCCGCTGTTTCAACATTTTACTACGAGAAGTCTACAAGACGTGTGATTTATAACATAATCGTCATTCGTATTTCCGTCCGTCCGTATTTAATTTTTTTTTATTATATATTATGATATAGTATATATATCATATTATTATTATTTTACTTAAAAATTGACCAGAAGCGATATATAATAAATTATATGCTACATATCTGTTAAGAAGATGGTAAGGATCGGGACATGTTTCAATATATTACTCGACATCATCAAACATTTAGAGGATATTCCGAAAGGCTCCGAATGATTATTCAGGATAATTGAGTTTTCCATTTCTGTGCCCTAAGATTTCGTTCAATTTTAAGATTATAATACAGTGTAAATATTATGATAATATATCAATCTGTTTACCATCTCGTCACACTAATTTCAACCTTATTGTACATAGCATTATAGTACAGCCGAAAAAGTTGGTTGATTCGGTACCGTCTCGTACACCACGTACGTCAATCCTAGTACGTTCCACACCGGTCATTTGTCTGATGAAGGTGACCGTGTCCTATAAACTTATGTTTATTCTAATATATCACTAAATGTTCAATTATTTGATAGCAAATTGAATATCAGATATCATATATAAAAATAAGATACGATATCTTATGTAACATGTGAAATATCTTACAAACCTATCTATGATCTTAATATAATATGAAATATCTTAAATTAATATTAAATAAGAAATCAACATATTTCATATGATATATAGATATCAGATAGGTGAGAAACTTGACGACACACAAGATTGACATTGTACTTTGACTAGCTGTTAACCAGTCATAGGTTACTGTTTACCAGGAAAATCAGTCTAGCATTGGTCATAAATCAGTAAATCTGTACTACATTACTGAAGTAATTACTAATTAACATATACACACGCATTCGTGTAAAATAAAGATATTCTTTTAAAATATAGATATTCGTGTAAAATATTGATATTCTTGTACAATATAGATATTCTTGTAAAATATTGATATTCGTGTAAAATATTGATATTCGTTTTAAATATAGATATGCTGCCATATTCGCGGAAGATATGTAACTGGTAAAATACTAGCCGCAATATACGGCTTGGCTAGAGAGAACTTCTCCTTAGCTCGGTTGGTTGAGCGTCAGACCAGTAAGCCTGAGGTCCCGGGTTTATATTCGAGCGGACGTATCGAAATTAATAAATAATGACCTCTGTAATATATATATGTGAAATTAGAAACGAGAAACCATTAAATATCTCCCATATATTTGCTGTTGATATTATTATATTATTACATTGTACTTATATCGATTTTGTTGTTGTTTTCCGTCTTTTTAAATTAATTTAACGACGTGCATTCAATAGTGTATGTACTCGACATGGCGTCGACCTAGACAGGAGATTTTACATTTACTTTTAAGTGATATTTGGTTTTATAAGGTTTCTTCTGGTCACCAGACAAACAATGGAAGCTGGTTAGCGTCCAGCTCAGTCCTTGTACAGTGATATATGACTTGATATCAGTGACATCGAAACTGAGTTGGATTCTGCTTACACAGTCAGATTAGATGTTCAGCAGGTGTCCTTGTAGTAGCTGGTGGTTACCTCATTGAACAACATACGGGAGGCCCGACGCATGCCATCTAGAGAAGTTAGGGTAAACCGTCTTTCCGAAAGACTTGCAGCGTGAGCATTGACCGATCCGTTTCTCAGCTTCCCGAGAAATACAAAAAAAGCCAGGCGCGAGGGAAATATGGTCTTATACTCGTGCCGATATAATTTGATATTGATTAAATGAGTTCAAAATTTTAACATGACACAAGCCTGTAGGTGAGTGGCATACACATTATCACATAGACGATATTTGAAAAAAAATACGAAAACTCTTGAAATAGTTACCATGGTAGACAGACTTATAGCGACGCGGACGTTGCGTTTTGTCACTTCCGAGACGTCATCAAGACGTGACCTATTATGACGTCACAATGGTGGTATGAAGCGTGTGTCTTGTGATGACATTACTGAATGACATGACAAAGTAGACCAGTTGTGTGATAAAAATACCAGATACAGCAGATGAATAAGAGTATTAATCGAAAACACCCAGTTTAATATAGGTGTTGGTTGTCATATTTACTGCTGTGATAAATATTTTGAATGCACGTGTCCAGAAAAAAAAGGGTAGATACATTTTTGTACGGATACAACACGATCTATTGTATATTGTAAGCCACATACATTGTAATTGTTTGGTACACGGTGAATTCGTGATTTTATATTGACCAAGGGGATTAACTGAAAAGGTGAGGCCTGGCATCCCTCTTTACAATTGTACAAATCACACACGGTATGCAATCCAATGCCTCTTGTGATTCCCTGTGACGTAAATTGCAATGATCCGTCTCTTTTTGATGTTTGATTGGAACATAATGGAACGCAAAAAGCGAAATAGAGTGTTTAGTGTACAGCTATATACATACTCTATTTATATATGTATAAAGATGGATCCTGGGTAGGGGGAGGGGGTGGTGATTGATGTCTAGTCTCTAGAACACTTCCTTTACAGCTGTTCAGGACTTGAACTTAACATAGTCTGATTGTCATCGGCCTCCGTGTTCGGAAAGAATACTCGCTGAGAACATTTCTTTTTCCGGACAGAAGAGGCACATTTTACTACATATTGTATAGTAGATGTCTAGACAAAGCGAGAAAAAAACTTGTTCAGACCAATTATTTATAGCCATAGTTTCATATTCAATCATGAACCGTAATTGGATTACGAGTGTATTGTCATATCCGTTGGGGCTTTCATCAAGGCAAATGAGAATGCATTGACCTCAAAGGTCAAGGTTAACGTAAATTCAATCATGAGGAAACGACGGTAACCTATGGCTACGAATCTGTTATTTACGTCATAGCATTGTTTACATTCTATCAATATAAACGGTTTCTATTTTAAGATGTACTTGTAAGCGCTGACTAAAACAGGATATATTAACGTAAGGGGAAAGCCTTACCGGAGCAAACATGTAATCAGTTTAAGATAAGTATCAGCCCAAAAGAAAACCTAAATATAGAAAATGGTCATTACAAGCAGAGCTCTTGTAAAATATTGATACCTCGTTATAGAGTTTACTGTCGGATATTTATAGACTGCTCGGTCATTCCGAGATAGCAGTTACCATTTAGGCCAATATTTTGAAGTACGTAGGTATTGATGGAACCGATCCATACAGGATGGAATAGGATAAACAACGATATTTTCTTTCTTTTGTGCTCGTTTCAGCCCTGGGATTATATTGTCTGTTGGGAGTAACTCGTTTCACAATGTATACTTTGTTATCCCACCAACACACAAAGTTTCGACATGCTGAGCTAGAAGCTGTTTATTGTTGATTTGTTTATCCTTCTGTAAATGTCTTGATATTTTGTTTTGTAAATCATGATATTATATTTAAACAACAACAACAATAAAGTCGATGAAATTATCTCGATACAATTTTACAC